CCACACACACACACACAGCACACACACACACACACACACACACACACACACACACACACACATACACACACGTGGGTGAGCAGAGACACACAAACAGGTGAATTCATGAACACACACAGTTAAGTGAGAAAACACAGTTGAGACAGGAATCAAATTGGTGGAAATATGAATCATTTCATGTAGGTGTTCATTTCATCAGTGATCGACTGGAAGAACTTGGAGGTTAAACAAGAAGCACACACACACACGTATGTCAGGTTAACACAGACAGAACAGCAAGAAAAAATCACCATAAATGACAGCTGCGTGCCCAGGTTATGAACAGCAGAACAGTCACCCATTAGATAAGGGATGGAAAGACATTTTTTTTTGCCATAAACAGCATGAAGTCATGACATCATGTCCAGGCTAGCCTCTGTTAGCTAACTAACTCATTCAGCATTTCCTTCACCGGCCTTTATGAAAAACATGAAGCATGATCCATATTGAGACAAATCACCATCCACTACAGCAGCTGCTGTAATATAAACCTGTGTCATTTAAACACCTCCCATGAAGAAACTCTGTGTGGCAACATGAGTACTTGTGTCATCATGACTTGATTTTGTCCACATCTATCAGAATTCACAACTCTAAAGTCATTTTTTTTCAGGTGTTCCAGTTGTAATCTCAGCTGATTTGCTCCTCACGACATACTGTTGTTCTAAGACCGTATGTTATGTTATCAGCGCGATTACAAATGTCAGTAGGATTTTAAATGAGGTTTTCTTCTGGAGCAGAAAACAGAAGTTCTGGTTTCACTAAAGCTCTCTATTGGTGCAAATATAAGATTAACTCGTTCTTCAAACACCTGTTTTTGGAAAAAGACTTGATGTTAAGATGTTATAAACCGACTTTCACTCTAGTCCATTTGTTTAAACAGAACAGACTCCTCATCCTTGAAGCATTTTCTCTTGTAGAAGTGAAACATGAAATAATACTATTTAAGCAAAATGTAAATCCCATTGTATGTAGTTTGTCAGCCACATACTTGCGCACTGTCAAGGCTTCACATTCCAGCAGAAAAACAAGTGTGAAACTTTATCAATCCACAAGCACTGTACTGAACGCTGCCACCTTAGCTACAATGCTAATGTTGTGAGCAGTCGACTGCAACATTTCAGTCACTGTTTTTGTAACAAATCTGGAAGCTGGTTGCCATACTGACAAATTACCAAACAAAATATCTTTTATTCTGGTTTCGATATGAGGCCAGTTTGTTATTGTACAGTCCCGGACATTCAGAAACACAGGTAATAAGCTTTTTTGTCACTTTCAGTTCAAGCAGCTCAGGCCAAGGTTCAACAAATTTGAACTTTCTGTGCACCTACGGACATCTGCACAAGACCATCGAAACTCGCCACATACACAACAATAGAGAAGACAATAGCAAAAATGATGATGTGAATACGCCTTCTTTCTCCTGTCAGGCTCTTTGATATGATCATTAGGATTTCTCTTGACAGCTTTAATCAGACTCTTTTTGTCTTTTGAGCCCCTCATTATCGATGGCAGCAGTAATTCTTGGCTACTTGACGGATGATTCAGTCCACAACCATTAGACTCATGGCAGTAAAACACGTCACACGAGCCTTCAGAAATAGATGTATGTTAAAAAGGATCTAGTAAACACTTTAGTCTAAAAGACAAACTGTAAATGGACTTGAAGACACTCTTTGGCCTAGCAACAATAAAGCTACAAACAACCTCAAGAACTCTCCATTAAAAAAGAATATCTGAGCTTGTGAACACAACTCGTTGATTAATATGATATAACCCCCAGTGTGAAGTAAAACCAATAAATAATAGCGGCGTTAATGCAATTCAGTAGCCCTCCTGGCTGTTTTACTTACTCGCAGCAGCACCAAAAAGTTGCATTAAAGCCACTATGAGTAGGAAATGATGGGGACCCCAGTGACATTATCCAAAAAGAAACCATGGCAGACGGCAGTATGATTGGAAGTGGAAGAATGTCAATGCTCATGTTGTCTTTTGTGCCCTCACCCTCATTGAGCTTAGCCATGTCCATACTGCCATTATTCATCTGCAGAGTTGCCTGCAGGGCTGGGAGGAGCTGATGTAGGAGGGCTGGGTCCTGCAGCAGTGCTGGTGAAGGGACTGGACAGACTGGAGCAACTGCCCCGTAGAGGAGGAAGAGGAAGAGGACATGGTGGAGGGGGTGGAACCTAAAGCACCGGGAGCAGAATTCAGGCTCTGAGAAGAAGAGGAAGAGGAGGAATGGCCGGCGTTTGATGCTGTTGACTGGTCCCCTGATGTGGTCTCTGAAGAAAAGCAGACCAAAGGACACAGTTTTATTCGACACAATATTTATTCTGAGCGCATATGTTTGAAGAACCTTTTCTGGATCTCAGATGTTTATCCAAAAAGCAATCAGCAGAAGCTAAACAATGTGAGAGGCTATGTAAAAACGTTTAGAGTTGGTTTTATAGTTGAGCCACACTTACTTGATGTGGCTTTTGTCCTGCAAGGCCTCTTGTCTGTAGTCCATATCCCTGGGGAAACTGTTCGCCGCCATCTTTACTGAGTCTTTCTGTCGTTGTTCCCTGAAGCAGATTAAACAGAACGCAAAAGTGATAATGTGCAGGCTGCAATTAAACTCTCACTGTCTAGTTAGGACAGGTGCGCTATGTGATCCTGGAATATATGAGAATGCTAAGCATGAGAATGAGGATCTCAATTAGTGTTTCAGTGCATATATGTAGTCATTTCATTTAAGTAGGCTTGCCTCTCCAACAGATCCTTGGGCTTCTCCCACTGGGAGACCTCAGTTCTACAGTTGTAGTTAGTACTTCTTGCCAGCACAATGTGTGTGTGTGTGTGTGTGTGTGTGTGCGTGCACTTCCTCTTTCCTCCCTCCAGTCTTGGCAGCTGCTGTCACCCAAGCTTCCTTGCGATCTGTGCTTCATAAACTCCTCACTGCTGGACCTGCTTTCAACGTCACTGCTCTGCTCTCAGCTGCTCAGCACTCCAACCAAGGTACGGCCTCCTCGCTGTTTCTCACCATCTGCTACACAAACTAATTTCCTGTGTGTTTTTAAGGGTCCCGCTCTCCCCATCCCCACCAACTTTTTAAAAAACAGTTTTAAACCTGTGTAATTATTCCCGTTTACCTTGAGTCGTTGAAATTCAACATTTCATGCAAATTAACTGTATGTTGTTTAAGAGGTTTTCAGACTATATGCATAAACAGGAGATATTGTCCCATGTATTCCAGTTAGCCTCCTTCATTGCTGGAATGGAGGCCAACAATCTGCATGTGAAAGCTGATGATGCCTATGCCACCACACCAATACTATGTCTTCTACCCTTTGTCTTCTGTAGCCCAGCACTCCAGTCAGTCTCCCGTTTCTCTGACATCAGATGCATCATCGCCACGGCCGTACGTCTCACCACGGAACGGCACACCCCAGAGCAACCAGAAATCCCTTCTGGGCGTACATCCCAGCAGCATCACATCCTCACAAACAAGGGTGAGCACAACGAAAAAACACAAAGAAGAGACGCCTTTAAAGAGCGGAGGGGGTACTTCCTCTCACCCATGACTCACGGCCTCTCTCTCTCTATCTTCTCCACTTTGTTATGACTGCCCTCGTCTTTCTGGTTCTCTAACACATGCCGATGCCCTTATGCCCTGCTGTCTGTCTTTCTCTCTTTAGGGCAGTATGTCTTCAGGGAAGCAAGGATCTGTCAACCTGTCTCAGTCCGCAGAGAAGCGTCCAGAAGACCCCAGAACTCTCCAGCAGAGAAGGTAGAAGTTCAAAATCACTTCAACACAGTATTTCTTTTTTGCGATGATAGATTGTTTGGATGGAAATAAACAAATGAAATGTATCTAGTTTTAATTTATGCAGTTCCCTGAACTAGAATTATGTTACTTTATTGACAATTATAGGACTTTACTTCAACTCATTGGTGAGGTTGGTTATAGACCCACATGTCTTTAACATATGAACAGCAGTGTTAGAGTTATTCTGAGATGTTAATGAATGAGACCAAATGAATGGTGTAGATTGAATAATATGCAGCATCCATGACTAATATGCCAAAACATCAGTTCCAACATCAGCTGCAGCTGGATTTTATTTACACCATTGACACACAGTTAACCGGTTGTCTCGCTCCACCAGCCAGGAGATTCTATGCACGGGTTCAAATATGTCCGGTGCTGCATTGCCCCATGTCCCCTCCAACAGCAGCGGCCAAACCCAGACTGACACCCCCGGCTCCTTCACTCCCACCCTGGCAGCCCATTTTGATGAGACCCTCATCAGACATATCCAAGGATGGCCTTCAGAGAACACGGAGAAACAGGTACAGTTCAGTATACTGCTCCTGTTGATTTCCAGGTGTTGCAGAGCTATGGGATGCTTCTCAGTGATTTATATATCTGTAGCATTAAACCAAAAAATTTTTTTTTTTTTTTTTTTTATTTCAACAGTCTTTTCTTTGGTGCCACTTTTGTTTTCTATGGCCATCCAGTTATATAATTTCTTCCCTTCCTGCACATCTCCATCACTCCTCTGCTGTGAAACGACTGTTAATTGTGGCTGTTGAGTCACATGATACTATTCTTTTAGTTTAACTTTTTGTAATTTAATCTACTGTGCACATTTCCATTTTTTTACACTTTTGTCCATACTGTGATTTTTACCTCACATATCACCTTTTACTTTTTTCACCTTTGCATTGGTACATTATTCACTTCCTGTGTATTGCTGAGCAATTGTAACAAATCGATTTCCCTGAGAGGATCATTAAAGTTTTTTTTAGTCTGATTAATGAGCAGTACAGATGGTAGCACAAATGTAGACTAAAAATTTTCATCTCAACAATATAATGACTAAACCATGAAAACTGAGAAACCCATCCATAGAAGAACACAATAAGTTGTGGTTGAAAGCTTCTGTTTCCAGGGTCAAGAATAAATCTGCGCTCAACTTTGAGTTCTGTTTAAATCAGAATCACAAAATCAGTAAATTACTGTTGATTGTCCTGAAGTATGTTTGTATGTATGAATGTTTTGTCGTGATAATCTGTAGTCATGACTCACCAAAAAGCTCTCATCCCTTTCTGTCAGGCGGCTCGGTTGCATGAGGACATCCACAACATGGGCAGCTTGTACATGTCTGAGATCTGTACAGAGATGAAAAATCTGCGCTCCCTGGTCAGAGTGTGTGAAATTCAGGCCACACTGAGGGAACAGAGGTGAGGCAAATGTTCACATTTGCATAGACATCAACTGATAACGATACATTCATTCATACTTTTTTCCTCCTCAACTACAGAATCCTGTTTCTGAGGCAGCAGAGCAAAGAGCTGGACAAGCTGAAGAACCAGAACTCCTACATGGTGTGAGCACCTCAGCAGAGAAGAAAGGATTTGGATGGATGGATTAAAATATTGTTATAAAAGTGGAATAGACATGGACGGCAAGCTGCTACAGCCTGTTTATTCTCCCTGTAAGAGCAACTGAGAAAAGCTGTTAGAAGACAGCGGCTGAAAAAGCTCCATCATCCTGAACGTGTCTTTTTCTTTTCTTTACTTTTTTTTTTTTTTTTTTTTTTTTTTTTTAAAACTTGTTTTTCCAATGTCCACCACATGAAATCTTCTCACTGAAAGGTGAAACTGACAGTTCACTGAGTTGGACACTTTAACCAAGTGGACATAAAGGACCTGAGGCTCTTTTCAAACAGCACCTTTTTGGACTGTGAACCTTGGATTGTGTGTATTGTATTGGGTTAACTTGTTTTCTGGTGTGTTTTGATGTGTAGTAGTCAGGAAAAGATTCATTCTTGGAAAAATGAACTAAAATAAATCATCTCATAATCGGTGTGACACAGTTCTCAGGGGGGGGGTGAACAAACTTGTTCACTCCCCAGACTTCTGAAATGGACTTTGTCATGCATTGAAATGTATGGATTCAATGGCAGTGATGTTACTGATGTTATTTTTTATTCACTATACTCGTCAGTGGTTTTGCCATCCCAGTGTGTCTTCAAGCTGGTTGATTTTACACGTCATGACATGAGATTAGCGAAGACCTTTGACCAGACCTTTACTTAAATGTGCTTCAGTTATTTCGTCCCAGTTGATGGGAATCTGCTGTCCAGTGATACAAATTCACTGGGGAGTTATGGTTAGTTATGACAAACGCACTCCAGATGTTTCAAAGCCATCTTGAAAAAGCCTACATTATTGGACCTAGGTTGGCTGCTAGAACATATGAGGTTGTATTAATTTGTAGCCCTGCTGGCCGTTTTCTTACCCCTTCTGTTTGTCTTTTTTTGTATAATTGTCAGCATTTCGTTTCTCTCCCAATTCCAATTGGGGAAATATTTCATTCCTTTTGTGCAGCTTAGCAAGAGATTGTGTAAAAGAATAGAAAAGTGACTGAATTTACAGTCATGTAAAGCTAAATTATTGTTGCACATGATTGATTACGTCCTGGTAGTCATAATGACAAAGATCAATGGAAAGATGTTTTATTTTTTCAACAAGGAAACTCATTTTGTTTTCGTTTACGTTCAGCTGACGTGGCTGCAGCCCTTTTATCAACTAGACTACTTTTTTAAAGGATTCATTCATGATGAGAGGGTATACTTTTTATATGAAAACATCACATTAAACTGCAGTCGTACACTTCTAAACCCATAAAGTAAGTTCCTTTGTCTCTCTGCTATTCTTTTCCTTGTCCTTAAATAGTTTCCACCAGATCTGATGTGCACACTTTTTGGGGGTGGGGGTGGGGATGGGGCTTTGTATTCCATAAAATATGAAAATAAAATATTATACCACACTCCCTGCTTGACTTTTACTTACTTTTAATCCAGTTTAAAGATGTGTGTGAGCTATATGCCTTGAGTAGATTTTGTGATGAATTATTCATTTTGTAATTTTATAATTAAAGTGTGCAATGATGCATCCAGAGGAGGGTTTGGGTGACAGCTTTGAGAAATGTATATGCAATGTGATTAGGCCATGCTCTTGGCGTACGTGTCTCCCTGGGCCTCATGGTTTGGGGCCTATGCACTATGACACATTAAAATTTCAAACAAAGAATTCAGGTAGTATCTATAGATTAACTGGTGGAGTGCAGCTCCTCTTCTGGCCACAAGATGGTGACAGTGAGCTGTTTTACCTTGAATCTGGTTGTGCTTATGTGTGCCTTTTTTTCCTATTGCCTCTATCAGATTAAAAAACCTATTACTGCACATGTCACATGTAAAATGCAGCCTGAACAAAAGCAGAAAGCTGGATAAAATCAGAATCAAGTTGACCTGTGTTATACTTCTGGGCCAACTCTGAGCCAATACATATGGGACACACATCACAGACGGCAATAATACAGAGCTGCTGACGGACAAGACTAATGCATGGAAAATAGCAAGTTCAAAATGTTACAGTATTTTACTAATGTTGAGTATATAGGATGACATTGAACCTGGCCTTTTACTTCGAGCACCTCAGCAGCTTTTCCTGCTTGCACAGCTCCACAGTGAGCTTGAGAGCCCTCTGCTTTGCCCCCTCTCTGTGGGTCCACTCACGCTCTTGGCAAACTGTTTCAGAAGAGTCAAACCTATGTCACCAATCTACATGAAAAACTGGCATTATCAAAATATCCTCTCATTAAACTTGTAAAACAGAGGGAAAACACGTGTAGTACCTGGAGTAATTACACTGTAGCCCAACAGATACCAAATATTTGAACTGGATGAAAATATGAGGGTTAAAAAATCTCTTAACAATAGTGTAGTATATTGGCCAATATTATTTTATTTTATTTTTTTTTTTTTTTACATAAACACATAAACATTTTTGGAGAGCTTTGGTTGTGTCCAATTGCTCCATTGATAAACTATTATTATAACATGAGGCTAAGCCTGGTGTTAACAGTCGAAATTGTGAAATCTGCCTTTAAGACATTATATGTTGCCTAGATACGGGAGGAGAGCGTCATCAGACCGCGTTTTTGTTTTCCTTAATTTAGTTGAGTGGCGCACCTTGCTAAGCCTGGATACCTGTTAATAAGCTGCTTAATTCTTGTCCACCTCAACGCCAAGAGTAACGTTTGGTTACGTGTGGCTTCTGTTTTGTTCGTGTATGATAAGACGGAGCCGTCCCGCCGGGCATGGTAAGGTTGAAGTGTAGTCAGTTCATAAACAACGAGTATTGAGGAAGTTTCCAACGCCCGAGTGCACGTGAGTTTTCTGTCTTTTACTCCTTCCTCCAACTGCTTCAACCAAAATACACGGACCCAAACTGTTTCACTGGTCACATCAACCTTTGAAATTGTGACATTTGGTGGCAAAACCAGTTCTTTGTAGTGGAATCAACATGGTTTTAGGGTGTGAAATTGGGTGGGAAAATAATCAGCCTAAAGTACTTGCATCAAATTCAACTTTGCTTACTTCCTTTCCTCCACGACTGACCAAAGAGCCAGGGGGTCCAAAACGGCGGAAGCTATTGTAGCTTATCTGTGTTGCACCTTTAATTTTTATTTAACCTTTTATTTAATCTTCTTTGCTGGAGTATAAACTACTCCACAAAATGTTTTGTTGACAATTGAGAGAAGATAGTGTGAACTTATCGCCTCATTAGCGCCCGAGTTAACAAGGTTGCTAAGTGAGGACAAGCAGTTAGCAAGCTAGTTAGCTCAGGAAACTTTTTTCCTTTTTCAATAAAACTCTTTATTAAATGGAATGATGTACAGTCTCAATAATTTTATACCAGGGGAAGTAACAGTTCAGATTAGGAAAGAAGCCCAGGCAGCTCTTGTGACTAACCAGTGCAAGCTTTTTCCAGCTGGCTAGTGTGTTAGTAGTTACTTTGCCAGCTTCAGCTGCTCGACAAGTAGCCCCCTGCTAATAATCTGAACATCACTAAGCCTATAGAACCAAATATTTTATATACAATTATTTTTCGTTGTGCTGGTTGTTAGCTGGTATATCAGTTCTGGTTCATCAGTCTCGCTCTAATTGTATTAAAAGACACTAATGGATTTTTGATCTATGTATCTATCTATTCAAATGGAGAATGTTTTAGGAGAAGTATCCGCTGCCACACCACCAGACCTCAGAGCAGTTTCTTTTCTGAGTTCGTCCTCCACACTCCACCATGCAAATAGTTTTATTTTAATGACTTGATTATTTATTCATTCATTTGTATAACTTTGTTTTTTGTAAGTAGCATAGAGGGACTACCTCAATAATTTCACTATATATCCTTGTGTTGCTTAATGATAATTAAATTGAATCTTGAATCTTACTTGTCCAGGTTTTGAGATATTGGCCCCTGAGATTTCTGCAACTACACTAATACAACAGAGGAGGATGGAATTTCATTTAAGGTGCTCAGAGCATTAGCATATCTTTCAATTAGTAGTTGAGTAGTTAATTCTGAAATAATTTGCAGCCCCTGCTGTTTACAGTTTTCCTCAGAACTTCTTTCCATGAAAAGTGTTTTGGGGATTATATAAAGTAATATCAACATTGTCTCTGGAAAGGGAAACAAAAATCCCTTCACGTCCGAAGCACTGGCAGAAATCTCAGACACATATCTCAAAACTAAGTCTATCAGTTTCAGTGAACTGACTGAACAAATAATACTTTTCAGATCATTTATACTCTTAAAACTTCACCCCACAGACTGCAGATCCTTTAGAGTCAATATTACTCTTCGAATTATTCTATTACAGTCTATATCTATATCTATTTACAGTCAATCGTGTTTTTCAATTTAAAAGCATATACACTGAAGTGTTTTTCCTCTTTTAACATATCAAGCAAATTCAATGCTGCACTTGAGAATTCTTCTCGGTTGACCAGCTTTAATGGTTAGACTGGTTGAAAATGTTTCATTTGCATCTTATGTTGACATGTTTGATCTTTTCAGTTTCAATGAATTGGAAGAATAAGCATGAGAAATGTTACTTAAAAGATTCATGTTTTTATTGAGTAGATCTCACTACAAAGTTTAGGGCTCCATGTCCAACAAAGAAAATCCTTTCTATACTTCTGCACTGGTCAGCAATGGCCCCTTTGAGATCTGAAGCCAATTAATCTTTTTTATACACTCCTGGACTGCTCATTGTGTATTAAAAATTTTCCGCCCGATTTCATTTATTACCATTTACTCATAGCACAAGAGAACCCGAACCTGAATGTGTTTGGCAGAGCTGCTTCATTTGTCCTCATATACTGTACAGTATTGTCAGAGGGCACAGGTTATGCCCGAGATTGCAGTGTGCTGCTCTCATTACAAACCAATTTGCAACAGTCTCCTCTTTCTAGCTGCATCACTAGCAAAGCAGTAAATATAGTTAAACATTCTCCTCATTTCGTAATGTGAGCGGTGACTCATGTTACTGGACTAGAGTCACTGGAGCCGTTTTCAGATTGGTCCAACCTGAGGCAATGAAGACTGCAAAACAAAAATATTATGTGTTGACAAGGTTTCACCAATGTATCATCAAGAGTCAGTTGTTCATTACTGAGTCATAGATGTCTTTTTGAACCATCCCACTGGTTTGAATTTAGTCAATATATTCCTCCTAAATCACAGCTGAT